TTCGCCCACATATAGAGACCTCCAAACACGTATTTCAGAACACCAATATGCAAGCAGGACTGACGATACAAGGAATGCCTGTGTACAACATCACAATTCACACAACCATTTAATTAACTACAGAAACTCAAGACTTATAGCCACAGAAGACAACACTCAATACAGAAGAATCCTGGAATCATCGCTCATCTCTACAACCAACAATTTCAACCAGAACAATGGCTTCTATAACATAGCTGAACCACTCGCCAAGAAACTTCTTCATCGCTATCCCACATAAGAACATAGAACACTGCAGAAGGTCTACTCACAACTTGTCCAATACCCCTGCCAAGCTACCCAAGACTCTATAACCCCACCCGGTAGATCATCAGATGCAGCATTCTCCACCTGACCTCAACATTCTGAACATGCCTATAAATACTCTCGTACCTTCCAACCCCAGGTAGATCCGTGTGTGACTTGAAAAAGCCCACTGTGTGGGTGAAACGTTGTCAATAAAGGATCACATTATACTGCATTTGTGTTTATATTTCCATTGTGTCGGTATTTTATACCATTTATTTCCAGACCCTCTAACCCTTAAACTGTTCACACGTAGATCTACGTTTGCACGTGTAGCGCTCCGGCCTTGATTTTCTCCATAAGAAAGCATGTAAAAAAACGTAGATCTACGTTCGGAGCACTACGCGAGCGAATGTAGATCTACGTTTGGACAGTTTAAGGGTTAGTTATGTATACAAACAGGCTTGGCAATAGATAAAGAAAAAGAGAATAAATATATTTATGAGATATGATGTGTGATAAGTCAACAGTTTCCTAGATTATGTATTGGTGGATAAAGGGTGATAGGAAGACTTTTGGATGTGCATATTTTTAGAAGAGCAACTGCTATGTCAAATCATTTTGTAGTTGCTGCAGTAAAAGGTGGATGGCATTAAAAGGAGAATGGTGGCAATGCATACGATCCAAGCAAAAATGAATGAACTAAAGGAGAAAGTTAGTGGAAGATAAAAGCACCTGTTGAAAAGTGGGGTAGACAGAATATAGGCTGCAGTAAGTAAAACTAGATGAATAAGACTAATGTGAAACACTTGAATATCAGGTGTTGCATATATAACTTATTCATCTACTTGTTGGTTTTGTACAATATTAATATAATACAGTACAGGAGGGCTCTGTTTTACAGCACTTCACTTTAAAGTATTTTGCTAATACAGCAGTTTTCAATTATACCCATTCTTCATTTATTCAGACTTCTACAATATATTTACCACTCACTATAAGCTAAGGATGAAAATATTTTAAATAATGAGTGCACGGTAGTCCCCCCATATCTGTGGGGGATACATTCCAAGACCTACCGTGGATAACTGAAGCTGTGGATAGTAGCGAACCCAATATATGAGTAGTTTTTTGTTTATATATATACCTATGATAAAGTTTAATTGCTAAATTATACAAAGTAAGTCTAGAATTAGAACTTTTTCACTTATGGGAAGCATTTCATGGCTTCTCTTAGGCTTTGAAGAACTGCCAGCATCACTACTTTTGCACTTTGGGGCCATTATTAAGCAAAATTAAGGGTTATTTTTGGGCCACAGTAAACAGTGGATAACTGAAACCGTGGATACCAAATCCGTGGATATGGATAGGGGGGTTCTACTTTACTGTATATGCTCTTTTAAGCCTAGCTCTATTGCTCATTTAATATATAATAGTGTAAACATATTACCAGCCTTTTATAGGCATTTGAAAATGAAAAACGGCTATGATTCACTTTACAGCGGTAGCCCAGAACCTAACCTGCTGTACTGGGTAAAACTAGCACTAAAATACAGTATTATGTGTCTAGCTTGTATACTTACTCTAACACATACTGATCTTTGCTTCCTGTTGATACTACATTTATAAGCAAGAAGTTATGCATCAACAAATCTCTCAATTGATGAAAAATGCAAAGTACGGACCACTTACATTTGTTTAGAACGTGCATACATACATACAAAACACAGTGGAAATGCCTAAGAGGGATACTTTAAATGCTCCTAAGATGAATATCAGTTTGCCATCCCACTCTCCCACCTGCTATCTTAAGAATTTAAACATTAACCCTTTTAGGGTCCAGAGGCCAAATTTCGAAGGGTGCATCAGTGTCCAAGAATTTTCAAAAAATTATTGTTATTTTTTCTTATGAAATGGTATAGAATCTTTTTCTGAAGGCAATAAAACAAAAAGTACGAAATTTGATGGAAAACTGACAAAATTATGCTCTTGCGAATTTTGATGTGTCAGCGATATTTACGCATCGGCAATTTTGCAGACTCTGACTCCCATTTTAGGTCAATTATATTTTTCCAGTCGTCCAAATTCTTAGCTATTTCACTAGTATTACTTCTATTCTATTGATTGAGCACAAGAATTCACCAAGTCAACTGTTTCAACTACAAAATAAAGTGATCGGAAATTCGTAATTTGGCCAATTTAATGCAAAAGTTCAAAATACTCCAATTTCAAAATAGGGCCCAGAATAAATAATGCAGGCATTCCTGGCACTAAACTAACATTTCCTCTGTTCATTAGTTATGTTTTCAGGCTTTACTAATGAATTCCATTTTGATTTTTTTATTCACATAATGAATTTTTATTCAAACCAAAAAATAGAAGATTTACTATTATGCAATATTGTAATAATTGTATAAATAATATCACCACATTTGTGAATGTATATTAGACCCACCAGCAGGTGTGTATTAGACGTGTGAGGTCATTTGTTTACTCTTGAACATCGGCAAAAATTTAACATTTCCGCTATTTTGAGCTCAGTTTCAAGCCATTCCCAGTACTAAAACCAATCAAAATCACCTCTATTTCTGTAATATATCTTCCATTCTATCAAATGAGACCAAGAAATCGCAAATACAACTATAAAAAACATACAAAAAACACTGCAAAGTCCCTGTTTTAATTGAAAATTACGATCTCAGTTTTCTTTCTCTCATTGTACACTGTGTGCTGCAGGATTTGTTTTATGTGGTGCACACATACCACACATATCAAGGCCAAAATTTACCGCTCACAGCTTATCAGAGTGAGCTGAGCTCATGACGTAGATCTACAGTTTGAATCCTCAACGTAAAGCCGTAGATCTACGGCACAGACCCTCAAAGGGTTAAACCACTAATCCCATATTTAAGACAATTTGGCTACAAGAAATGACTCTTTTTTTTTTTTTTTTTACACTTCGTATTAAAACTAGTCAATGAATCTTAACCCTTTGAGGGTTTAGACCCCCCAATCTGAAACTTGTCCACAGGGTTCAAGAATTTAAAAAAAAAAAAAATCATATTTTTTCTTATGAAATGGTGGAGAATTTTTTACCGAAGGTAATAAAACAAAGAGTACAAAATTTAATGGAAAACTGACGAAATTACAACATCACGAATTTTGCTGTGTCTGCGATATTTACGCATAAGCGATTTTGTCCACTTCAATTCCTATTTTAGACCAATTACATTGTTCCAGTTGACAAAATTCTTAGCTATTTCACCAGTATGCCTTTCATTTTATCGAGTGAGCACAAGCCGCCGCCCAATCAACTATTTCAACTACCACAAAGTGATCAGAAATTGGTAATTTGGCCAATTTGACACAAATTTCAAAATATTCAAATTTCAAAATAGGGTCCAGAATAAACAATGCAAGCATTCCTGGCACCAAAATAATATTTCCTCTGTTCATTAGTTAATTAGCTATGTTCCCAGGCTTTACATAGAAATTTTATTTTGATTTTTTATTCACACAAATAATTTCTTTTCATGCAATACTGTAATAACTGTATAAATAATATCAGCACATTCATGAACACACATTAGACCCACCAGTTGATGTGTATTGGACGCGTGATGTGGTTTGTTTACTCTTGAACATCGGAAAATATCGAAAATATCCGCTACTTTGAGCTCAATTTCAAACTATTTAGAATCCTCAAAAACCATCAAAATCTTCCATTCTATCAAATGAGACCAAGAAACTGAGAATACAACCATAAAAAACATTCAAAAATAGATTGCAAAGTTGCTGTTTTAAATAAAAAACACAGTTGCAGTCATTTTTTCCTCATTATGCACTGTGTGATGCAAGATTTATTTTATAAGGTGTGCACTTACTGCATCTACCCATTCTATCACATTTAGTCTCAAATTCACTGCTCACAACTTATCCAAGTAAGCTGAGCTCATCACGTAGTACTAGGGCAAGAACCCTGGCTTCCCAGCCATAATACTATGGCACAGACCCTGAAAGGGTTAAAAAATATGCTCTATTTATTTACTGATCCTGATATATACTTACTTTTAAACTACACACACTAGCACATGAGCCACATGCCACTCTCACCCCAGCAATCAACATAACATTAACATTCTCTAAATTAAATCATGCATTTATCAAAATATGATGACGGTTACAAGTAAAAAAAATATGCTGAACAATTCTTTCATCCTGTATTGTCCTTATCTTAACTTCATCCTTAATATATCACTAATTACAACTTTATTTGAATTACTATATACCTTCAATACAATAAAAACTATGTATTCAATATAATATCAACTAGTAATCATATAATAATCCAGTATAATAGTAATCCAATACGTATAATAACAACTAGTAATCATAATTTAGTTTTAAGGCTGCCCAAAATGCCTTGCATAATAAGGGACTTTCTATGAAGCAGTTTATATATGTCAATTACCTTAATTATATTACATACTTCACTCCACTTATAGAAATAAAGTTTGTTTATAAGAAATTTTAATACTTATATACATTGCCATACTGCAATATAATGTACTATATCAATATGGATACAGTATGATGTATATAATAATGTGGATAGAGTACATGAATGATGCATAGGTAAATATGCATATTTACCTATAGTATCTATTTTACAAGCAATTTCATAAAATTTTAAATGTACTGTACTTGATACTCACCTCAATATAATGGAAGATATCCTTAAATATTTTTTCGTCTGTTATACGAAAATGAGGATCATTGTCATTGGGATGTGAACAAATGTGAATTATTCCATTCATGTCCAAATACAAGTTGTCAAATTCAGGTATCTGAAAATAAAAACAAAAAGTGTTTAGTTAGCTTATTATCTGTTAGCTATACTGTATTTCTCTTTAAAATCAGACATGTACAATAGGACCCCCATATCCATGGGGTACGTTCCAAGACCTACCATGGATACCCGAAGCCACAGATAGTAGCGAACCCTATATTTAAGTAATTTTTTGTTTACATACATACTTATGATAAAAGATTAATTGATAAATTACACAAAATAAAATGAGAATTAGCACTTTTTCACTAATGGGAAGCACTTCACAACTTCTCTTAGGCTTTGAAGAATGGTCACCATCACTACTTTTGTACTTTGGTGTCGTCATTAAGCAAAATTAAGGGTTATTTTCAGGCCAGGGTAAACCGCTGATAACTGAAACCACAAAATTCAGATCCGCAGATACGGCAGTCCTACTGTATCAGTTAAAAGATTAAAAGACGGAAGTGGATGGCAGGTAATGGTGATTGTGGTGGATGGAATGAGATTGTTTTACAGTAACTGTAATAATAACACACAACTCTTTAACCAACAGATTTTGTCCAATGTGTCCAAATCAACTGACTCAGTGGATTTTGCACCATATTTTTGAAGTCCATTAAATCAAGATATTGACAAGGTTTTGAGTCTTGCTCATGAAGAATTTATTTACCTTGTTGACCTTTAGTCTGATTAATGGCTCACTGAACAGTCATACTGAGACTTCAGTATTTCCCATTTTTCTTTGTTGTCATCCCCTGGACAGTGCTTCCTTCTGCATTTCAGATAATCTAGAACCCTTCAGGAGTTCTATGATTCTTTGCCTTTGCTTGTAGATGGAGCATCCCTCTCTCTCTAGTCTACATCTTCCCTTCTGTTTCCTTAGTGGAATGTGCCTTACGTATACGTATTTCTAGTGCGGCAGAGGTGATCCTTTCTAGATACTGGTTTGAACACATGTTATTTAAGATATCTTTCCAGTATGTTTTGTTAAAGACACAATTTACCTGATCCCAGTTGATGTTCTTGTTGCTAAAGTTGAATTTGTTTTAAATACCCTCATAGCTGTTTGAATTTTGCTGATCAAGACCCCATGTGCATGAAGGTCTGAACTTAAATTGGGTCTTCGATACTGTTATATTTCGTGCTAGATCATCATTATTTTTGAAGATAATGTCAAGTATTGTTGGCTCTGATACTTGCTGGCTTATTGAAAACTAGACAATTTCCTCTACCAACTGCCAGATTAACCAGGCTGTGATGGATATATGGGTCAATGGGCCACCAGCAACAACAGCCTGGTTGACTGGTAAAACCAGACAAGCTTGGCCCAGGTCAAGGCTGTAGCAGTAGGGAAACTTATCGAAGCCAGCCCTTTCCCCTCATTCCCTTATTCCCCATGGAATAAGTATTTCTTGTGCAGATTGTCATCTTGAGAGATTTTTGCACAATTAGTACATTTATTGTGGTTGAAACAGCACATCTGAACCAATCAAGGCTTCGCACTGAGGTGTGTTGCACGACTGGATGCAATCAAAGCTGTGCCAGTATGGATGGCAAAGTTAGGTTAGGTTACCTGGAATATACCTGGAGAAGGTTTCGAGGATCAGTGCCCCCGCGGCCTGGTCTGAGGCTTAGATTATGTTAAATTTTTTTAAGTCAATCAGTTTACCTAGGTACACGTACACATATATACAATTATCACAGTGTAGATTACTTAAGATAACCTGGCAACACTGTATGACACTTGTGGATTTAGCACTTAGTTATGATTGTAATATTAATTAGGATAACCAAAAAAAAGCTAGTTACTTATTTCCATTAGGATCCTTGCTGTGAAACAAATCTAATATTGTACAATTCAACATATAATTTTGGCCGAAATCCGCCCAGTAGCAGTCATATATGTTTACCTGAAGTGCTAAACTCTTAAGGTAAGGCAGCACCAGGGCAGTGGGAGGCAATCATATTCAATCCAAGGAAGTGGAAGGCAGATCCAATTCCTTGGATCAAGAGCATTCACCGGCATTAAGATACCTTCCTCGAGGGGAGGATCAAAGGTATCATTATTATTATAATCATGGGGAAGCACTAAACCCATAGGATTATAACAAATAACAAAAAAGGCACAATATTGTGACTGGAACAATACACAAACAACCCGCACATAGAAGAGAGAAGCTTATGACGACGTTTCGGTCCGACTTGGACCATTTACAAAGTCTCACTAACAAAAAGGAGAGCAGGATGGGTATATACAGTGGACCCCCGCCTCACGAATGCATCGTGTTATGTTAAATCCGCCATACGAAGCATTTGAACGCAAAAATTTTGCCTCGCCTCACGATAAAAAACTCGCCTTATGTGATTTGTCCAGGACACGTCCCACATGTGGCCTCAGCTGCCCTGTGGGTGCCAGTGTTTACAAGCCAGCCACCGCGGTCGCATCTAAGCATACATTCGGTACATTTCATATTATCACAGTGTTTCTAGGGCTTGTAACTGCAAAATAAGTCACCATGGGCCCCAAGAAAGCTTCTAGTGCCAACCCTGTGGTAAAAAGGGTGAGAATTAGTATGGAAATTAAGAAAGATTTTGAAGGGTTTGGGGCTAACCCTGAGAAGCCTATGTCAGTTGTGGAATCCATTGTGCCTACTTCAAAGATTAAGGAAATGTGTGCAAAGTGGGTTGAACTGCAAACCTTTATGGATGAAAATCACCCTAACACAGCTATTGCAAGCCGTGTTGGCAACCTGTACAATGACAATGTTGAGGCCCATTTTAGGCAAATTTAAAGGAATGGGAGGTACAGATCTCTATGGACAGATTTGCTGTGCGACAGAGGTCCAGTAACTCTCAAGCTGGTCCTAGTGGCATTAAAAGAAGAAGGGAAGTAACCTCAGAAAAGGACTTGCTACCTCAAGTCCTAATGGAAGGGGATTCCCCTTCTAAACAATAACTTTCCACACTCTCCCCTCCTCCCATCCCATCAATCATCACCAGATCTTCAATAAAGGTAAGTGTCATGTATTCTGTTCTTAGTAGAGTAGTAATTGTGCATGTCTTCTTCAGTTTGCGTGTATTAAAATTAATATTTCATGTGTTAAAAAAAAAAATTTTCATACCTTGGGGTGTCAGGAACGGATTAATTTGATTTCCATTATTTCTTACGGGGAAAACTAATTGGGCTAACAATAATTTCGGCTTACGATGAGCTCTCAGGAACGGATTAATATTGTAAGGCAGGAGTCCACTGTATAGGCAGGAGGCAGAGGTGGCGGAGGAGGAGGAGGCAGAGGAGGAGGCAGAGGAGGAGGCAGAGGAGGAGGCAGAGGAGGAGGAGGAGGAGGAGGAGGAGGCAGAGGAGAGGAGGAGGAGGAGGAGGGAGGAGGAGGAGGAGGAGGAGGAGGAGGAGGAGGAGGAGGCGGAGGCGGAGGAGGAGGTCGGAGGAGGAGGCGGAGGAGGAGGCGGAGGAGGAGGCAGAGGAGGCGGAGGAGGAGGCGGAGGAGGAGGCGGAGGAGGAGGCAGAGGAGGAGGCGGTGGAGGAGGCGGAGGAGAGGCGGAGGAGGAGGCGGAGGAGCGGAGGAGGAGGAGGAGGAGGAGGAGGAGGCGGAGGAGGAGGCGGAGGAGGAGGCGGAGGAGGAGGCGGAGGAGGAGGCGGAGGAGGAGGCGGAGGAGGCGGAGGAGGAGGCGGAGGAGGAGGCGGAGGAGGAGGCGGAGGAGGAGGCGGAGGAGGAGGCGGAGGAGGAGGCGGAGGAGGAGGCAGAGGAGGAGGAGGCGGAGGAGGCGGAGGAGACGGAGGAGGCGGAGGAGGCAGAGGAGGTGGAGGAGGCGGAGGAGGAGGCGGAGGAGGCAGAGGCGGCGGCAGTAGTAGTGGGGAGGTAGTAAGAGTAGGAGGGGCCAGTCAAATACAGTGGACCCCTGCCTAACGTTATTAATCCGTTCCTGAGAGCTCATCATTAGCCGATATTATTGATAGCCCAATTAATTTTCCCCATAAGAAATAATGGAAATCAAAATTAATCCGTTCCTGACACCCCAAAGTATGAAAAAAAAAAAAATTTTACCACATGAAATATTAATTTTAATACACACAAACTGAAAAAGACATGCACAATTACTACTCTACTAAATTAAGAATACATGACACTTACCTTTATTGAAGATCTGGTGATGACTGATGGGATGGGAGGAGGGGAGTGTGTGAAAATTATTGTTTAGAAGGGGAATCCCCTTCCATTAGGACTTGAGGTAGCAAGTCCATTTCTGGGGTTACTTCCCTTCTTCTTTTAATGCCACTAGGACCAGCTTGAGAGTCACTGGACCTCTGTCGCACAACATATCTGTCCATAGAGGTCTGTACCTCCCATTCCTTTAAGATTTGCCTAAAATGGGCCACAACATTGTCATTGTACAGGTTGTCAACACGGCTTGCAAGAGCTGTGTTAGGGTGATTTTCATCCATAAAGGTTTGCAGTTCAACCCACTTTGCACACGTTTCCTTAATCTTTGAAGTAGGCACAAATGATTCCACAACTGGCATAGGCTTCTCAGGGTTAGCCCCAAACCCTTCAAAATCTTTCTGAATTTCCATACTAATTCTCACCCTTTTTACCACAGGGTTGGCACTAGAAGCTTTCTTGCGGCCCATGGTGACTTATTTTGCAGTTACAAGCACAAAAAACACTTGGATAAAGTGAAATGTACCAAATGTACACGTGGATGTGACCGCACTGGCTGGCTTGTAAACATTGGCGCACGGGGCAGCTGAGGCCACACGTCGGACGCATCCCGGACGAATCACGTTGGGCAAGTTTTTTATCATTAGGCAGTGCAAAATTTCCGCGTTCAAATGCTTCGTAAAGCGGATTTAATGTTATGCGATGTGTTCGTTAGGCGGGGGTCCACTGTACTAAGAAAGAGGAGCACTGCAAGGGAGCTAGGTGCCCACAGAAGGTAAGAGCAAGAACACCGAGGGGGGGGGGAACAAATAAGTAAATAAATAAAGAAGGAACAAATACTCAGGGCAGAAGAAAGACAACCCAAAGGAGAAAAAGGAAAGAGGAAAGGGGAAGAGGGAGAAGAAGGAAAAAGGAGGAATCAGGTTAGGTCACGAGTTTTCTGAAGTTTGGAGCATTTTACAATGTAGTGGGAGAGGAAGGGAGCTACAGAGATGAAACCAGGACTAAGATTCATACAAGGAAAGTTGTGTATTAGGGAGGATTCAACCAGATGGCAACTGTTAAAGTTGGAAGTAGGGAAGACAGTTTTAGCAGACCAGTCAATAGGATGACTGTGATCTCTGACGTGACAGAAAAGAGCGTTGTTAGTGTCGGCAAGCCTAACACTATTTTTGTGCTCCCTAAGTCTGTCAGAAAGAGATCAACCAGTTTCTCCAAAGTATTGAAGAGGTCAGGAGGAAAAAGAAATAGAGTAGACACCAGGAGCATCTGTAGAGGGAGGAGAGGTATGAACGAGATTAATGCGAAGTTTTAGTCTGGATGAAAGTGAGTTTGATTTCTAAGGAACAGAGTGAGTTGTTGAGATTAGAAAGACTGGAAATGTAGGGAAGGCAGAGGACAGAAGAGTTCCCAGAAGTAGAGAGTTTGGGAGAGAAGAAACTACGTCGCTATGGGCTCTCCTCTCTCTCCTGTCCTTGCTAATCTTTACATGGAATACTTCGAGACTGTTCTTCTTCCTACTATCGATGTGCGCCCTTCACTCTGGCTCCACTATGTTGATGACATCTTTGCTCTGTGGCCTCATTACTCTTGTCTCTTCCAACCATTTCTTGATGCTCTTAATAATCTTGAACCTTCCATTATGTTTAAAGCTGAATGGGAATCTAACTCCTTGCTTCCTTTTCTTGATGTTCATGTCCACCACTCAGATACAGGTTTTGCCTTTTCCATTTACTGCAAGCCTATGCACAGTGGCATCCTGGTCTCCTTTTCGTTAGTGTGACTTTGTAAATGGTCCAAGTCAGACCGAAACGTCGTCGTAAGCTGCTGTCTTCTATGTGCGGGTTATTTGTGTAGTGTACCGTATTATAATTATTATTATAATAAAAAAGAAGCGCTAAACCACAAGGGCTATACAGCTAGTGTACCGTAGGATTATACAGCGCCTGTGGGGGGGGGATATGGAAGGTATTCAGGCTTAATTCAGGGAACTGGAGCACAGATCCAGTTCCCTAGATCAAGAGCCCGTCACCGGCATCAAGATACCTTCCTCGAAGGAAGGATCAAAGGTATAATATCCGTGTAAATAAATATTTAAAGAGGTAACACTCGCCTGGTATTCCTTGACAACCTCACTAAGACAAGGGTACCGCTCACTGGTCCATCTATAAAATTTTGGCACTCCCATCTTGCTAGCTTCCTGACACTTCTCTTATATCATACACTAATGTTCACCTCCCTAAAATCTTTCCTTCACAGTTAATTTCCCCGAGTAATAAAAAGTTCCAGCCAGTTCAATGTTGTTATTAGTGAAGCACTCAGCTGAGTGAGCATCTGTACTATGGTTCTAATTCATAATATCAAGCAAATTAAATTAATTCTCACAATTATTTCTTATAATGTAATTACCTATATAACATTAGGTATAAAAATAATGTAATATGTAATATTAAACTTGGCATAAATGAATGGCAAGTGAATATAAAATGCGCATTGTTGCTGCTAGGATAGTCTTATCATTTAATAATAATAATAATAATAATAATAATAATAATAATAATAATAATAATAATAATAATAATAATAATAATAATAATAATAATAATAATAATAATAATATCTTTATTTAATACATGTACAAGGTATACAGACCATAGTTGACATCAGTGACATACTACTATGTAGAAAGTCCCTTGTTATGCTGAGCATTTCCCGCAAATTAGGTCAATTTTATCCCAGGATGCGACCCACACCAGTCCACTAACACCCAGGTACCTATTATTACTGATGGGTGAACATACACAACCGGTGTAAGGAAACACGTCCAATGTTTCCACCCCTTTGCCGGAAATCGAACCCGGACCCTCACCGTGTGAAGCGAGAGCTTTTGCCACAAGACCACGGGGTACAGCATATATTTTAAATATTGGAATGGCCGTTCAACACATCAAAGTGAGAAAGAAGAAACTGGTAAGTCCCGTGCTGTTCCAAGGCACAGAAGTGTAACTACAGACTGAATCAGAAACCCCACAAGGAGGTGTTCTCAGACCCAACTTATTCAAGACTCTAAGAGATCACTAGAAAGTAATAAATATAATAATAATCTTTATTTCTACAAGTACATGTACAAGGTGTATACCTTGTACATGTAGATCATAGCTGACATCAATGACATTCTACTATATAGAAATCACCTTGTTATGCTGAGCATTTCTCGCATATTAAGTCAATTTTGTTTCAGGATGCGACCCACACCAGTCCACTAACACCCAGGTACCTATTTTACTACTAGATGAACATGGACAGCAGGTGTCTTAAGGAAACACGTCCTAGTATTTTCGCCCGTACCGGGGATCGAACCCCGGTGTGGAAAATTACATTTATCTGAATGTATCATTATATACATAACAGTAAATGAACAAAAATAATTATTATTTATCAGTTAGACAAGTAGGAATTTGGGACACCTAGGTCACAAAAAATATCCCCCTTCGATACCTACCACTGTCATATCCACAAGTTGCTCTGGACCTATTAATTACAAATGAAAAATACATCACCAGGAATGCTGGTAAATATATAAATTTGTGGACTGTATATTAAATTAATAAAGAATTATATATACGCATTATATAACAGAAGGAGAACATATCTTAATCATAACACTCACCAATTTGACTGGAGATTAATGTGTCATGTACAGGACCCCCCCCCCCTTTTGCCTACATTTATGAAAAATTTACTGGCCAGAATTTAAACATAAATTAGACAGCTTATCTGAGGGTCCTGGAGTTGTCCTGTCCTGTCGCCTGATACTCAAGTTATGCAGGAATGCGCATTCACAATTTAGGCTCCTATTTGAGAGGTGTCAGCCCAAATTTAACCTCTAGAGCACGAAAAATTCTTCCCATTACTAATGTCTGTTACTCAGTTCAAAAACAAAAATGGCGACTGTCTTCTGTGCAGACACAGGCTTTCCGTTTTCTATGACAAATATTATTAAACACAGTATGGCCATCTATTTACATATAACTACTGCATTTCTGGAAAATATATACAGTATTTTCCACACCCGGTACCTCAATGTGTGAACTGAGTGCGCTAGCACAGGTACACATAAAAAGCCAAAAGGCACAATACCGTGACTGGAACAATACACAAATAACCCGCACATAAGAGAGAGGAGCTTACGACGACGTTTCGGTCGGACTTGGACCATTTAGTCACCGTGTGCCTGTAAATGATCCAAGTCGTAATTATTATTATTATAATCAAGGGGGAAGCGCTAAACCCGTAGGATTATACAGCGCCCAGGGGGGGATGTGGAAGGTATTCAGGCTTAATTCGGGGAACTGGAGCACAGATCCAATTCCCTAAATCAAGAGCCCCTCACCAACATCAAGGAACCTTCCATGAGGGGACAGTCCAAGTCGTAAGCTTCTCTCTCCTATGTGAGGGTTATTTGTGTACATGTACACCTAAGTACAATTACCATACATCGTGTAAATTACCTAGGATAACCCAAAAAGTCAAAGTGACTTATTTCCATTGGGGTTCATGATTATCTTTGAGGATGTTAGAGTGCTGCACACCAGCTGATTCTCCAACACTAAACCTCCCTGTTCATGTACTAGCTTGTGTCAGGACCCTAGGTTGATCATCTAGGTTGATCATCTAGGTTGATCATCTAGGTTGATCATCTAGGTTGAGAAAACGACGATATTAACAGTCGTCCTCCCAGACAGGAAGACAGTCTGCAGGATCCAGTTGCATGATGAGTCTCGGCTCAAATTTGTAACGAGATACGAGTATCTTCGCTTTGATAATTCTCTTCTTTGACTTTGTGGCTGTTACAAAAAAAATGTTGAGGTACTTAGAGATGTGACACTTTCACTCCGGGTATGAAGTTTATGTAAAAATTGTGAAAATGGTGTATATTTCTTAAAAAGCAATTCTTATTCTAGATCACTGGTTGACTTGCAACACCCGCGGCAACGGGAATGTTGCAGAGCGAAGTAATAATAATCATTCTAGGATGTCCATATAACAGCAAAATTTTAAACATGCTGAAAGAACTTGATATTCCTAACATCAGAGATCGCATCACTGAAAGAAATGTCCTCATTGGCGGGACCTATGAGGTTGGGGGGGTCAGCAGGTACATTGATCAGGGGCCCGGCTGTGACTCTCTGAAGGGGCCCCATAGTCATAGACGTTTTATTATTATTTTTGTTTTTGTAATTTCAACTATCTTAAGTTTGTTTATAAAAATAATTTTGTAAATTTCACTTAGACTGGGGGCCTCAGCCTGCCCCCAGGGACCCCAAAGCAGTCTTATTCCTCCTTGCAAACTTTCTCTTGGAGGCCCTGCTTATTGGTGTTAAGATGCTTAGGTAAACCCATCCAGAGCCTTTTACAGAGGCCCTCCAAACTTTCCACAACACTGGTGACCCTTCCATCTCTCACAGAGTCCCTCTAAACTTTCCACAACACTGGTGACCCTTCCATCTCTCACAGAGGCCCTCCAAACTTTCCACAACACTGGTGCCCCTCAGGGAAGGCTCCTTGACGCTGCTGAGGGGTTCTTGATCTGGGGAACTTGATTTGTTTCAGTTCCCCAAATTGAGTCTGAATACCTTCCATCCCCCCATAGGCACTGTATAATCCCTACGGGCTTAGCGCTTCCCATGATTAGTAAAAAAAAAAACAACACTGGTGACCTTTCCTCCAACTGGATCATAAAAACTGGAACTGACTTTCAAAGTGAATCAGATACATGATCAATGTCAAGACAACAGCGACACTTCCCTGCACTATGCAAAATTACCTCTTTCCAAACCACCATCCTTCACTTTCACCTCAAATAATCTTACCGAATCGCAACGAAAGGCAAGCACAATGTCTTAGGTTGTATCGATGTCTCAGTCACAGTATTCTCTTCCATAAGCTATTTATTTTGATGGGTTTTGTCACGGACCACAATGGAAATAAGGCACTTTGACTTTTTGGGGTCATCTTAGGTAATTTACACTATATGATAATTGTACTTATATGTACCTGTATCTAAATATGCTTACACCAAATCAGTGGTGTAGCTGGTAGTGTGTAGTTGATGTTATGCACAATGATGACTGTAGTGTAGATAATGAATCACCATCAACTAACTACACGAATACCACCTGGTGGTTCACACTTACACTCACTCACTCATTTGACCATAAACAGAAATATTAATCTCAATCTTAAAATAATGAATCCTGTGATACTCCAATACTGAAACTATGTACTGTGCCAAAACAAAAGCATTCACATTGCTAAACTCACAAACTAGTATTTAGTCACTTAGCCATAATACCAACTTACCTCATAATTTGTAATATTTTACAATTAAGAATAAAACTAAGTCTGCCCGAAATGCCTAGCCATGCTAAGCGTTCTAGTGGTACACTCTGTAATCACAATTTTACTACATGTAAACCACACAGTAACCAAATTTCTGTAAACTCAGCATTGTAATCCTTATAGAGAATAAACTTTGAATTTGAATTTGAATTTGAATCAGCAATTGGACTTTCATCCTTCAAACTGAACTCTGCTGTATTTCTTGGAGTTAAATGTGTCCATGAATCTAAAGTTAACAACTTAATTGTAAATGATTCTTTATCATTCATAAATGCTTTTAACTTCAAGGATGTCAGTTGTGGCATACTTGTGTCAGAAACCAGACACTGAAACTCTGGGGTAGTCCCTAGACCCATTATGTACCTCTGTAATATTTTGACTACCGCCCACAGGATGGGTATGAGGTGCATAATAAACATATTAAACTAGGTATGGTAGGATTCTAGACCTGTGGATTCCATCTCACATTGGTCTTCAGATACATGATAGAACTGATGACCTGTCAAAGTCATACGCCTTCAAGGAGGGAATAGATTACAGTCTTGTACCGTGAAGGGAATAGATTACAGTATTGTACTGTGAACTAGTAGTGAGTAAATAAGCTTGTTTAGGTACAGGTACACGTAAATACAATTATCATACACAGGGTAAGTTACCTAGGATAATCCCCTCAAAAATCAGAGAAAGTGACTTTTATCCATTGGAATCCTTGACTTATTTCCATTTAAAGAACTGCAATTAAACGTTATTGACTTGAGATGGAGAATAGTGACGCTAGTCAATCTATTTATCATCATTCTGTCATACAGAAAGAGTCACATGTCTATGGTACATCCAAAAATATCAGCAGTCTTGGATGTCACTACTGGCAGGCTCCGGCTGGGTTACAAGTATATCCGGGAGGTTACAACACTAGTTA